ATACACACATATAAAAATAAATATATATACATAAATACATACATATATATATATAAAAGAAGTAAGACAGCACGTCCAGACCTGAAAAGACAGTGAACAGTGGGACCATGGAAGCCCACAAGCCCGGACAGCCCTGGACCAGGAGACAAGGGTTCAAATCCAGGCAGTGCCACCAGCCAGCTCAGGAAGATCACTTCTGCTTTCAGAGTCCCCCGTCACCCAAAAAGGAAAGGCATACCACCTGTCCCTTCTGACCGACCAAAGCAGGGTGTGGCGGCTGTTAAGAACAGGTGGATGATGGTGCTCCTGTCAGAGCAGCGCACAGACCTAAGGCCAGAACTGTTACCACTACTGTCACTGACGAGAGCTCGCGTGCCCAATGCACGTGAGGCCAGACAAACCGAGACGTCAGAGTTTAGAGCATAGAAAGGGTTATTGCAGGGCCCAGCGAGGAAGAGAGAGTTCCCTGAAGGGTTTCAAGAAAGCATCATTAAAGGCCAGGTGAGGGAGGGGGTCGCAGGTTTGGGATCAGCTCATGCACAAGCCTCTGACTGGTTGATCTGGAGGGAACAGAGCGGTCAACATGACCAATCCCTAGAAGCCAGATCTGGGGCCACGTGCTCAAGTGGTGAATTTCTTTCTTTTGGTGGTGGTTTTTAGCATCAGAAAAACTCAGGAACTGTACATGAGGTACTATGATCTGGGTACTTCAGAGAGGAACTACAGCAGAGGACATGGGGGAGGAGTCTGACCAGGAAGGCCCCACCTGCTCGGTGACACATTTGTGGCCCTACCCACTCTCCCCAACTTCTAGAACCATCATTCATACAGTTTCTGAGAAGGCTCTTTTGGAATCTGTTTCATTAACGATGCAACGTGACCACGTGCAGGTTGCCAGGGAGCAGACTTACATGCCTTTTGCTCATGAAGCAGTTGCCACGGATGCCTGTCCCTGGGCCGCCCCCAGAGCTGGGCGGGCCTGACTTCTCCAGCACAACTGCCCGCAGGCAGGCGACGTCATGGCTCAGGGCCAGCTGACTTCACAGGTGGGAAATTCCTAACTGTACAGCTTTCTTATTCAAAGCTCACCCATTCTTGCAATGATTAACACTCAGAACCATGCAGCTGACATTAAGAAGAAAGCCCTTGGGGCACAGGCTGGGGTAGGAAAACTGCTGCTTCCGACAAACCCACAGTAACAACTTGATAGAAATCCTGTAACGAAAGGCAATTCTGCACTTGAGGGAAAGGGTGAAGCTATGACCTGGACCTAAATTCACGGCATCCAGGCCCTAAAACACCAGTCTCTCTGGTCTCATCCTCCACGAGCCAGGGGCAGCCACCAGGCACATGCTGCATTTGGTCGGCAGGAAACTGACCACTCACTCCCAAGCAGGGTCTCCAACACTGTTTATAATTAGTTGCCAACTTATTTCACAGTAAACATAGGTTTCCACTTTCTCTTAAAAATGTGGAAGATCTGACAACACTGGGTCCACATTCCCACACGGTAACTCCGAGAGAGGGCCGACCCTTCCCCCGGGCACACATTACCACAGACCCAGCAGTTTCCCCAGTTCCCAGGACTGGCTTCTCTAAGCCCCCTGACTTTGTGACTGCTAATTTAGGTGAGGCATCATGGACAGACACTCATTTTGAATGAATGCTGGCCAGGGGTCGGGGGTCTAGCTGTGGCCTGCTGGCTTCCCCAGACTTCTAGAGCAAAGAGTGGGATCCCAAAGATTTGGGACTGTCAGATACCACCAGACAGCATTTGCCTGGCCGTCATGTGCCACTCGGCTGATTAGAAGGCCTCCCCTCTGGAGGCAGATCACCTGCCTTTGTTACCCTTCCCTAACTCTGAAGGCTTCAAAAAACAAAACAACAGTAACACTTTCTATCTTTTCCTCAGGGTTCTGATGAGATGACCATAAACGGGTGTGATTTTTAAATCCCACAATGGGACTGAGATAAGATACAATGGTACTATCTTGGAGAGCCTCACCCTCTCCAACCTCATCCAGGGCAGTATTAGACATTATACCTTGCTGTGGAATTGAAGTCAGTGAACTTCTTGCCTTAGGAGTATCTGCACTGAAGGACATGAGACTGCTACCAGTTAAAAATGGTTCGGCTAGCAAGACAAAAACCAGGAGGGCCACGGACTATCCATTCCATATCCAGTGAGCCTCGCTGCAGGTTAATTTTTAATGCCTAAATAGATGAATGTGTCAACTAGCCTAGGGCTGAAAATTCCCATCAAGAAACATTTCTTAAATGCAAAGCAAAACTACAATGAGGTATCACCTCACACCAGTCAGAATGACCATAATACAAAAGTCCACAAATGATAAATGCTGGAGGTCATGGAGAAAAGGGAGCCCTCCTACACTGCTGGGGGAAATGTAGTTTGGTGCAGCTGTTATGAAAAACAGTATGGAGAGTCCTCAAAAGACTAAAAATAGACTCACCATATGATCTAGCAATCCCACTCCTGGGCATATACACAGAGGGAACCTTAATTCAAAAAGATACATGCACCCTAATGTTCACAGCAGCACTATTTACAATAGCCAAGACATGGAAACAACCTAAATGTCTATTGACAGATGACTGGATAAAGAAGTTGTGGTGTATTTATACAATGGAATACTACTCAGCCATAAAATACCATTTGCAGCAACATGGATGGACCTGGAGATTGTTATTCTAAGTGAAGTAAGCCAGAAAGAGAAAGAAAAATACCATATGATATCACTTATATATGTGGAATCTTTAAAAAAAAAAAAGACGAACTTGTTTACAAAACAAACAAAAATCACAGACATAGAAAACAAACTTATGGTTACGGGGGTGGGGGAAAATATTGGGAGTTCAAGATTTGCAGATACTAACTAATATATATAAAATAGATTTTTAAAAGTTCATTCTATATAGAACAGGGAACGATATTCAGTATCTTGTAGTGACTCATGATGAAAAAGAATATGAAAACAAATACATGTATGTTCATGTATGACTGAAGCATTATGCTGTACACCAGAAACCGACACAACACTGTAGACTGACTATGCCTCAATAAAAATATATATAAATACCAAAAAAAAAAACCATTTCTTGGAGTGGAGTCAGATTTCCATCCCCTGTAACATGCAAAGATGTTATTCGACCAACATCCTAATTAATCACACTTAATACTTTCATGTCTACATTTTTACCTAAGCTTCAGATTCTGATGGAATGGAACACAGGGTAGCCAGTCTGATGGAGGAAAAGGATGGAAAAATCCAGGATCCCAGGCAACCAGGAAGACCAGGGTGAGACAGCACAAATGTGAGATGGAGAGCACGGAGAATCATACATGGGATTATTTGCTTGAGCTAGCTCTGCTGAAAAAGACGAAAGTCCATAGGTTGGTACACTCCTCCCCTGATATCCACCTTTCCTCCCTGTCACTGAGACGTTAAAGAACATGCTCCTGGCCAGCTGTGATGATAAATAACAATTAAGAACCTGGGGAATTACTGAAGGAATGGCTCTAATCTCAGTTTCAAATAGGGGAGTGGAGGGTAGTTTAAAGCAGTCATTTTAATAGCTCAACTAAATGCACTGTAATGTCCTACTTCAATTTTCCCTATAAGCACGCATGCGCATGCATGAGTGCGTGCGCACGCGCGCGCACACACACACACAAATCCATCACCCCCAGGAGGATTGACATATATTTTTCTTAAAGTGAAATTAAAGGTCTTATAATTTAGGATTTACATAAGATGGTACACATAGCAAACTCAAATCAAGTCATATCCTAAAAGAAGAGCCTGTATTTTTGCACTAAATCACTATGCAACTTGTACACAGGCAAACGTCATTTTGTCATGCTTTGCTTTACTGTACTTTGCGGATAATGCATTTCTTTACAAATTGAAGGTTTGCAGCAACCCTACATCAAGCAAGTCCATTGGCGCCATTTTTCCAATAGCATTTGCTCACCTCTTGTCCCTGTGTCATATTTTGGTAAGTCTTGCAATATTTCAAACCTTTTTACTATTATATTTGGTACGGTGATCTGCAATCAGTGATCTTTGGTGTTACTATTACAAAAAGATTACAACTAGCCAAAGGCTTATATGATGGTTAGCATTTTTTGCAATAAAGTGTTTTTACTCAAGGTTGATGAATATTTTTAGACATAATGCTTCTACACACTTAATAAACTGCATAGTGTAAACATAACTTTTATGTGTTCTGGGAAACCAAACAATCTGTGCAGCTCACTTTATTGCGATATTCACTTTACAGTGGAGGTCTGGAACCACGCCTGCAATATCTCTGAGGTATGTCTGTATAGACAATCATTGTAACGGCAGCATCTTCATCTCCTGATAGATCAATCGGCTGCCTTCTATGAAGATAGCCTGACAGGTGGCTGGAAAAATATTTCTCATCACAGCATTCATAACGAGAGGGAGGAAAAAAAGAATCAGAATGCAGATCATGCCTCTCCCCCAGAAAACAAAGCAGTCAAAGACACACTTTAATATGAAATTGTGTCCTCCAGTTTCTGCATCTGAATGTCAGTGGTTCCAGAGAACCTAATACAAATAGATTTATCTATTGAAATGAAGTAAAAAGGAAAAATATAATTCTTATTATAATAATCATTGAATGGATGCAGAACAACAGATGCAAACAACACAGATCGGGTCACTCTGCCAAACAAAAGTCACCCCACTTCTCTTTATGTAAAAGACTTTCAAAGTAGTCAAAAGATCTAGGAAGAGGGACACAGAAGCCAGGACCAGCTCAACTATCTTTTCCTCTTGCCCCATGCTTCTCTCTGCCAAGTCATTCACATTCTGCAATGAATTCTTCTGGGCTTGGAAAATACTGTCTATTTTCTCTCCTCCTGCCTAACTCTCCACAGTCTATCCATAGTGAGAGGTAACGCCGGAGGCTGGTGCCCACAGGGAAGACTCAAGAAAAGAGAAGAACCTTACCACTTCTGGGAGCAGCTTCGTGGAGAGGTCATGGATGGCTTTGACCACTATGCATATGGATGACAGCAGGAATATCACCCCCAAGATGACACAGGCTCTGCAAGGAAACAAAACGTTGAGAATCTTAAGTAGGAGAATGCCACATGCGGATTTACACAGTGACAGGGACACAGCCAAGGCAATGGAACCCACCAGAATTGACCACCCCCACCACGACCACCCCGTCTCAGAACTGACACTGAATCATCTCTAGGAGGATACAGGTCAGCATTTTATCACCCAAATCAGCCCCGTGGGAAAGGGGCTCACCATCCTACACAGCATCCCATGAATATGACCATGGAAAGGTCTTCAAGGCCATGAGATGCACCCCGCA